TGGCTGTGTTGGCAGGGATGGTGGCTGTGTTGGCAGGTATTGTGGCTGTGTTGGCAGGTATTGTGGCTGTGTTGGCAGGTATTGTGGCAGTGTTGGCAGGTATTGTGGCAGTGTTGGCAGGTATTGTGGCAGTGTTGGCAGGTATTGTGCCAGTGTTGGCAGGTATTGTGCCAGTGTTGGCAGGTATTGTGCCAGTGTTGGCAGGTATTGTGGCAGTGTTGGCAGGTATTGTGGCAGTGTTGGCAGGTATTGTGGCAGTGTTGGCAGGTATTGTGGCAGTGTTGGCAGGTATTGTGGCAGTGTTGGCAGGGATGGTGGCTGTATTGGCAGGTATTGTGGCTGTGTTGGCAGGTATTGTGGCAGTGTTGGCAGGTATTGTGGCTGTGTTGGCAGGTCTTGTGGATGTGTTGGCAGGGATGGTGGCTGTGCTGGCAGGTATTTTGGCTGTGTTGGCAGGTATAGTGGCAGTGTTGGCAGGTATTGTGGCTGTGTTGGCAGGGATGGTGGCTGTGCCTGCAGAGATGGTGGCTGTGTTGGCAGGGATGGTGGCTGTATTGGCTGGTATTGTGGCTGTGTTGGCAGGGATGGTGGCTGTATTGGCAGGGATGGTGGCTGTATTGGCAGGGATGGTGGCTGTATTGGCAGGGATGGTGGCTGTATTGGCTGGTATTGTGGCTGTGTTGGCAGGGATGGTGGCTGTATTGGCAGGGATGGTGGCTGTGTTGGCAGGGATGGTGGCTGTATTGGCTGGTATTGTGGCTGTGTTGGCAGGGATGGTGGCTGTGTTGGCAGGGATGGTGGCTGTGTTGGCATAGATGGTGACTGTGTTGGCATAGATGGTGACTGTGTTGGCAGGGATGGTGGCTGTGTTGGCAGGGATGGTAGCTGTATTGTGGCTGTGCTGGCAGGGATGGTGGCTGTGCTGGCAGGGGTGGTGGCTGTATTGGCAGGGATGGTGGCTGTGTTGGCAGGCAGGGATGGTGGCTGTTTTGGCTGGTATTGTGGCTGTATTGGCATAGATGGTGACTGTGTTGGCAGAAATGGTGGCTGTGTTGGCAGGGATGGAGGCTGTGTTGGCAGGGACAGAGGCTGTGTCAGCAGGGGTGTGGCTGTGTTGGCAGGGATGGTAGTTGTATTGGCAGAGATGGTTGCTGTGTTGGCAGGGATGGTGGCTGTATTGGCAGGTATTGCAACTGTATTGAGAGATGGTGTTGACAGTGATATATCACAGTCGTGGAGGGACTGTGGATATATGTAGTTGCTTTGTCAGTGGCAGTGTTAGTGGTTTTTTGCAGTGATGGTGGTGGTGGCAATGATGGTATGTCAGTATCATATTCAAATAAAAAAGATGATGAGAAAATATTTGAGCTGTTACCATATTTGTAATTACTATTCATAGTGCACATTCTAATTGATATTTTATGGTTATAAAATACTTATAAATTGTGTGTTTCAGGTTCTACCATATGAATGTCTTTGGGAGAGAGGACAAAGTAACTGTACCTATACAATGAAGACAAATGGTACCAAAGCTACTTTCCGATGTAAAATATCATTGTTCCAATTGGACAGTTCAGTTGAAAACATTGATTTTCACATCAGTCAAGACTGTAAGGTACATGTAGAGCGAAAAATGATATTGTTGCCCGAGTAATTTGTTTCAAAAATACAAAGTTGCTAGGCTGGGATATGGGTTGAGCTCTAATTTGCATATCATTAGCATTTTGAATGCCAAAGTAAACTTTTCTCACCTTTAACTATTTAAATCTAAAAAATTAGTCCCCATCTGATGGAGTCCGATAAAAGGGGCTTGTGTTTTGGGTTCTGTCTGTCCTCGCGTCAGTGCAGTGCCATATCTCGGAAATGCCTTGGCCAATTTTGTTTAAAGCCAGAATAAAAAAAGCCATGATGGGATACATATAGACGCTAAATTGTTTTTTTTTCATTTGGTTTTATTTCCATTTTTCAGACATGTTTCAACATTTTCAAATGGTTTATGTGTGGATTATACAATTCTGTGCGATATGAGAATAATCTTATTCCTAGGAGGTGTCACTTTGACTAAACAAAAAACTGGATAAGGTTCCATTAACAAAATATTTTTAACATGCTGAAAAAAAATTAATTATCATAATATATCAACCTTTTTCACTGTTTGTAATTGACACAGTTACTAGGCAGGAAGTATGTCATTGACAATGACTTGTTTTTCCAGGGGGAAAGTATGTCTATTTGTCTAAACGACTAAAGAAATTTCAGAAATACTGTAAAACATATTTAAATAGCTACATGCCATTTTAGCGAATTTGAATCCATGCATGAATTAACGGAATCTTAATTTAGCTAAAGTGTCAACAATCTCATTGTGAGAATATACTTATTTTAAATTAGCAACATCTTGAATTAGCGAAATTACAGATTAGCTAAATTAGCTAAAATGACATGTTTCACAGTACATGAAAATGTGCAAAATATTGCACTAAAATTTGGTGGTAAAAAAATGGCTTTGAGGGTGTCATGAATGAAGATTTTGATTGAAAATAGTTTTTTTGTTAATAGATAATATATATTGGAAAATTGGAACTAAAACTGGTTAATGTTCTTGTTTTGACAGTATGACATACCAAATGTACCAGTAGCCAATAAGGTAATGGAGGCGTCTATACCCTTCACAGCACGACTAGAGATCAGCCATTACTTGGACTACGAGCATCCGTTGGGAAACGACTGGAGAAAGTTCGCAGAATGGAATGATTTGAATATGGTAGAAATCAATAAAATCGAGTCCATGCGCAATCATAAGAGCCCGACATTTGAGGTGTTCACGATTTGGGAAGGTCGTAAGTTTGCTGTCACAGTAGAAGACTTAATTTCACTGTATGATTTCTTTTTGAGTATAGAAAGGAATGATGTAGCAAGGGTCTTAAAAGAGCTTACTGAAAGTAAACATGGTTGTATTGATAAATTAAAAGCCAAATTGCCTCGCTCTCCGGCTGATTCTGGCTACGGTACCCCCTACCCTTTGACACCAACCGCTAAAAAAGTAAGAACCGACTCCATTCTCAACATTTAATAGGTTTGCCATATAACCTATTCACACTGCCTATTATGCTGCCTGTCAATTTTTTTCGTCTTGCGCAAAATTTGTCTCACTACCTATTTGTTCATTGACATAACAAATACTACGGACATTTTATAAAACTGTAATGAGAACCACATGATATGTCTATTTGGTTCAAAATTGATTTGAGAAAAACTATTTGTTTTAAATTCTTCTTAATATTATTAATTTTATATTAGAACCAATAGTTTTAACCCATTTTCCAAAATTTGAATCTGGGAACTAGAATCATTTGATTAGTCTGTTCTAAACAGTTCAATAAATATGATCAAAATCACTTTTGAGGAATGTGATTTGAATATTTTATTAATATTACAGAATTACTCTCAATAAATGTGATTTTAATAATTATTAGTCTGGTACTAATAGCTTATATTGTAATATCATTTTTTTTATTAACTGCAGAAAGATTTTTATGATTTTTAAGAATTGTTTTATGATAATTATAATTAATACTGATTTGTTATAGCACATTAGATAATTTCTGAATGAATCACACTTCATTTTAGATAGTAATTACCCGGTATACAGAAGTATTATTTTGATTTTTTTTGGCAGAGCTGGTAGCTTTTATATGAAATTGTGTTTTAACTATCACAAGATTTTTGTTTTATTGAATTTTCAAATTTCATAAATTTATTGAGATTGAGAAAACAGACTGGAATCTATACACCAGTCTGCTTGGCCTAGCTCTGATGCTAGTAATATCATCACAGTAGCTCTAATTGGTTAAATAAAAATCCCATTACTGTGAACATTGTCAATTATCCATATGATATTGCCGTAATCCCAGAATGCATTTCTAATTGTCAACGAAGACCATTTCTCAGGAAATGTTTGAAATCGTATGTGAAGTGACATTTGCATAACTTACTTGCATAAGATATTACTTGCAGTGTAGCTAGGCATAGCTAGGCAAGGTATTGGCAACTAGTGTGTGGAACACATACTGCATGGGCTCTAAGCTACAGTTTGTGGAAATAACATACTAGTACCCAATGTATGTACGTAAACAATTCTAAGAACACAAACTGTTTTGAATAATTCAATAATGAATCATGCTCCAAATCAATATTGAAAACATTTGGTTAACAGCCTGTACCAGATATAATTTACAATTTTTATCACTACTAAATCAAATGTATTGCTAAAAAACCTAAGAGTACAGACCATCAAAAACTATTGTAATGCGCTTTGTAGAAACTTTATTTTTTCACTTTGTCTAAATTTTATCTACATGTATTAATAATGTAAACTGAGAAAAATTAATTAACTTCAATAATTAAGATTTATTATACATTTGATAGCATTATCAAATAATTTGGTATTATTATGAATAAATATATTTAATATATATGAATTGTCACGTTTATGTTCTCTGTGAAATGATGTGTGAAAATGTACTCCCAGTTTAAGGAGGTAACTAAAAGCACCACCAAGCTGGTTGAAATCTACTCAGGTTTGTTCCTCATGGTGGAAAAATCAAAGAGGTTACGACGTTTTGAATTTGTTCACCTCCATTTAGAGTGTGTGTAATGCTGGACTTCAGTGGATCATTGTTCCAAACAAATTTCTAGTAGCGATGAATCTGCAAGATGTATAATTTATTATTGATTGACACCCAGTTGGCACCTCTTGAGATTTGCAGTCAAAAGCACAATGCAATATTCCTTTCATGCCGCCCACAACTCCATGAGTATTTAGTACAAATAAAGTGCACCAGACTGGAGTTGTTCAAATGCAGGGAGGGGGTACCCTTGCATCAATGTATGGCATCTCAATCAAAAATCAAATGAAAAGGTGATGCAAGGGTTGGATTATTTTCTAGCAGTCCTGCACTCTGGGGTTTCTGCTCAATAAGACAAGTTTTAGTTGAAGGTTACCCAAATAACTTAATTTGACTTCTGTGTATGCGTACCCCTGGAGATATTTCTCCAACACCCTTTAAAACGTACTCAAACACACAGATCATAGATGCATATGCACGTCTATTTTCATTACCATTTGACTAGTGGCTATATTCAGACACAATATTGAACATTCGTAGATGAACAGGGTGATTTTGTTCAAACTTTGTATCTTCATCATGCACATCATATAAAGATGGGAACGAAAATGGGCAACTGGCAGCCATTTTGTTTTTTATTCCATGCAGATTACTCCCTAATGATTCAGTTGATGAAAGTTTGCACACACACACTCTATACTTGTTGGTAATACTGTATGCTGTGATAATACGCAATTTGTCAACTGACTGTCAATTTGTCTAAAATCAGAGTTTGTTAACGTGTCCAAAATCATTTCTCACAGATAAACAGATTTGTATCACATATGAAGCCCTTTGGTAGATCTGCGATTTGTACTAAACACTAACACTGCATTGTCTATGCTTTTTGTTTTAATGAATGACCTGGCCTCCATTTTGTTTTATTTTCTTAACTGCCCTCTCCAATTTCTTGACTCGCGAAATTACACTATACAGTAAGGGCAAGAAAGAATGGAATGGCAATATTACAGTACTAGATGCTGCACTGCTAACAAAATGGCTACATTGGACAAAGTGTTGCCATGGGAAACAATAGCTACAATGTGATCAATATAGCTATATTTGCAAGATAGCATCCCACAGTGCAATATTGCCATTGCATTCAATCACAGTAAGCAATAGAACATACAGCCACAAATAAATACATTTAATTTGGTTTTATTCATACTTGTACACATTTTCTGAACATCATTACTACAAAAGGTCAACTCAGAAAATTCTGTAATACTAAAAAAAAAAAAGAAACAGAAAATTAAAGATACATTTCTCATTTGTAACTGTACAGTACAGTTTTGTGAGCCAATACCATCTCAGACATTGAAAAAAACGGCAAACTTTGGCCCAAGGAAACCACCACAAATGCTACATGTAACCACACATCACAAGCACACAGACATCTAACATACATTTGCATATAACAAGCCTACAGCATTTACATGGTGTAAAACTTCAGGAACTGCCCTATCTTTTGCACCTGTATCCAATGCATCTACGTTTAGTACTAGTTGAAGCAAAGCATGTACACTAGACAGAATTTGATACTGACAGGTTTTGTCAAGCAAGCTGCCCTCTGATTGGTCAGACTGATGGGCGTTAGGGTTGGGTAGCCAATCAGAAACAATCTTGTAAGTAGCTGCATATTGACTCATAATTCATGGTGTACCTTTTCAAAGTTTAACACCCCCAAGGCAGTTTTCAGCATTCAAGCCTCTCGACAAGCATCTTGGTAATACTACCGGTACATGTAAAATGATATTAAGTTTTTTAAAATTTTAGTGAATCTCCAGGGATAATCAGTAGGTTATACATTTACTGGTTTGTGAAGGAAACATTCTATAACAATTTTGTATACTCTGAGTTTTAATTTCAAAAGATCTAGCTATTAGCTAATATCCAGCTAATAATTATTATCTAAACCAGTATTAAAATCATGCTGCTGGATTTCACTGCAAAATTCATACAACCATGTTGTCTTATTTAATTGCAGATCAGTGATAATGTTGAGTTTGTCCTTGTAGACCACTCCTTTCACTTGCCCTGTCGGAGTAAGCTGGTAAAGCGGGAACACTGCATAGCTACGGGGAAGGGTTATGATAATATGGCAGTAAATGTACTATTATCTCACAGATTTGATCTGCAATTGTCGGAATGGATATTCCATTGTCATCACCAATAAAATTAAATCATGGTTAGTTATATCAGAACAAGATGAAGTTATTTATGTATCCTTTGATAACCAAATGCTTAAGTACTTTAGAGAAGTTCGGCCATGTACAAGGAAATTCCATTTCAATCTATCAAGCGGACTGTCTAGTACAACATGCATACAACTTGATACAATAAGATGAAAAGCACAAGTAACGAAAGAATTGAGTATATTGCATTTTGAAAAGAAAACAGTCAATTCAATTTTGTTTTTCTACAGACAACTACAAATACATGTACATACTTGAACTGGAAGATCAATCAGAGAGGAAAATTTCACAGTACACCTTAACTGAGAGATCAATCAGAGTGGAAATTCCACAGTACACCTTAACTGAAAGATCAATCAGAGTGGAAATTTCACAGTACACCTTAACTGAGAGATCAATCTGAGAGGAAATTTCACAGTACACCTTTTCTCACATGCACATGCCAGAACCATGAACAGATATGAAAATATTGCTTATCATTTTTAGATAAACATCTAAAGTATAAAAGAAAGCACATTTAACAATGGACACACACACAGCGGGGGTCTAGAAATAAGGAGACTATCACTGTAAATATCAATGTAGTAACAAATATATACCATCATTTCTTTTTTAAGGGGAGTAACAGTTACTAAAGTATGCATATAAAATTACCATTCCTTGTGGGTAACAATAAAATGCCACATCAGTTGATTTTTACAAATACACATACAGGACAAACAACGAAATACATAATTTTTGTTTCAGTCATCTGTTAACCAGCGGCAATTCGCCAGCACACCTTAGTAGTAACTTACTGCTACCCGAGAAGCGACTTGTCACCGACTTAAATCACCCAGAATGCAAGCATCTCCGTGGGAGGAATCGCATAGTTCGTTGATAACTTTTGATTTGTCTAAAAAAACTCTAATTGTGATATCTCTTTTAATAATGAAGTGGTTTGTAAGATACACCTGGATAAATACACTTAGAAGAACTATCTCTATCATTGCATCGCCTTTAGCATATCAATACGCAGAGTATGTAAAATGAAAACAGTGGAGTAAAGAAAAAATAATGTAACAAGTAAACAACCAAATTTGATAAATGTACAATATACTGTTTCAATGATTTTGATGTTGTTGAAAGAAAATGCCAAATCAACATCCGGTGTTGATAGCAGAAATTAATATATAATACAACTAAAATGTAGCAAACAAAACTGTTGCTTTATGATTTGTTTTTTTTTTAAAACAAAACAAAAATGAAGAAAGAAAAAGTCTAAAAACTAAATATTAACAGAATCAAATGAATGCTGCAATTATCTGAAAATCTTGCCTGTTTTAAATACAAGAATACACACGTCATTGCACATAGCTATGGATCATGTAATAACAAACAAACAAACTGAAAAGCAGATATCTAGCAATACTAAACTATGTGATAATCACACGGCCAAAAAAAAAGAAACACTGATCAGCCAAAAGTAGTTAAAAATAAATGCATCTAATTTTTAATACTGCTATAAATCTTTACAACATGGTTTAATACTTATAATCTAATAATATTGACTTTTTTTTTCGATAGAAAGCCATCAGAAAACACTTTTGGCTAAACAATGCTTCTGACGTATTAACCGCATCCAAAGCTCACATTCTACGATCGCAATAATCAGCAAAAACTTGCATGCATACATTATGGAAATAATATTCACCAGCGTATTCTACTGCCAAAGGTTGCATTCATATACCTTGTATGACACCTTCACGACCAATCAAATAAAATTTCATTATTTTTAAAGTTTCTAATTTTTTTTTTTTCAATTCAATATTTTAGGCTACCTACACCCACGCATATATTGCTTCAGTTGTTAACATCATGATAGAGTATCATATGTTTTTGATAAACACAGTTCGAGTTATTCTTTAATCTTTATAATTTTTCTTCTATTTTCTCTACATTCCTGTTCTTCTTGGCATAACCATCTTCAGTATGATAAATATTAAAAGAAATTATTGGATGCTTTACAAACCTCCCTAAAAATGAAAGGAAATGTGTTTACTATATAAAATAGTATGTTCTTTCAGTCTCATTGTCACAGCTAATACCAGAATTCCAAACTATTCCAGACTTTTTTTGGTCCACCACAGCTGAAGCACTGGCAAGTTTGACTAAACGCTACAGAGCTATTATTTCCTGCAAAGGTTACTGGAATCGGAGACTAGCTTCACATATGTTGCCAGTTTCTAGGCTTATCATAGCTAATCATAATAAATTCTTTTCCAGCAAAAGCAAAAGACTTCTGTAGATCAAATGCAAATATCGTTATAAGCAAATCACACTTAGGCATTCAATATTAATTGTATGGTGATTAGAACAATTCCAATGGCAACACAACATTTCAGTGCATATCCACTGTTCTTTGGCCTGCTGTGGAGGATTCACAGACATAGCAAAATCAACGAAAACAAGTTATTTTTAATAACACACTTGCTGTTGCAATCAGGGGGAACGTTATGTATATAATATGAGGTTATTATGAGAATACCTCAAAGTATGCACTAAGACAGTACAGCTGGAGTATCGACAGACGCGCAGCATAGGTCAATGCTTGGCGTACTGTCTGAGTGCATACTTTGAGGTATTCTCGTAATAACCTTATTAGTATACATCTTTTCCTTCCAGGGATACATTGTGGGAATGCCGAAATCCGAAAAGTTTAGAACAGAATCAGCGAACTTCTTTGTATGGAGTCTAGGCAAACCCTGATGGCAGCCATGTTTGTTTTTATTATTAGAGGATGCTTACGTGTGTAATCATTCCATATTTGGAATTTGCATTCCCTTATATGGTAAGATGAAAATACCATGTAAAATACCTCAAAACTACGGCACGCTGTAACTTATGGCAATACAGTGACAGATAAATAATAAATATATATAATATAATTCCTTGTTTTCAAACTTTGTTTGAATGAAAACTAAAAAGTAAATCAGCAGACATTATGTTAAAATGTGAACATAAGATTAGAGGTTACTTGTGGTGACTTACAAATGGGTCTTGAGACTGCGTTGTACGATTCATTGTAGGCTGCACTCCGAATGCATTCATAGGCTGTTGTACAGGTTGAGGTGCTGCCATACCATACTGTGTATATCCACCTGCAACAGGCACCGATGCCGATGGCACTGCTGACATGCCCGCTGTGGGCATGGTCCCCATTCCTCCCATCTGAAAGCATGATAAAGTAAAAATCTACAGTGTACCTACTGGTTATGTTTCTAGCGACAACGCACATCTTATGAGAAATCTGCCAGTCTGATATGTGTAAACACCAGAAGTTTTCAATGTGAGTGTGTGCGTGTTCGTGTGTTTTGAATGTTCAACCCAAGGGCTTCACAATGTCTACTGTTAAAATAAAAACATAGTGAAACTATTACAACCTTGCTTGTTGGGAATCTAGATATTACATAATGAATAAGAATTCAGGATGGATAGAAACTGAACTAGTTGTCACATGTTTTTTTACATTGGTTATCAGATTCTGTGAGGATATAAATGTGAGGGTATATGAATTAATACTTGTATATTACTATTAATACTATATATACCATATTAATCCCTAGGCCCCATATACAAGAACATAAATTGCAAAAAAGATTGTAAGTAAACAGTACAGTAATACATCAAAGTCAAATTTTTATTGACAGGGGGAGAAATTCAAGTCTGAATTTTGGTGTGAAAAATTAATTTATGTAATGAAAACAACATCTGGTCACTGCACTATTTATTTAAGTAATAAATCGTGGGAAGTATGTATATCACTGATATCTGATTCTTGCGATCAGCTGTGCAAATGTATTCATTCTGTGCACTTTTTTCTGCCTCTTAACAAATATTTTATTTTACCAAAATTTCCATATACAACTTGAAAATTATACATTCTCGTCACACCCAAATTGAACTTGATTGATATTCACAGCAATTCTCAGAAGTATTTCGCTGGTTTTGACAAAGCAAAGTTTTGCATACTGTGAAGTCCTGTAAAACATCATAAACTCATTTAAAATACTATCAGATATTACTGGCATTTGATGGTGACAGAATGCTTTAATTGGCAAATTACTGGGTAAGTTTGCTGCCCCAATACTTCGGAGACTTGCTGTAATAGCAAATGATAACTATTTCCAAGTTTGATGGCACCCCCGGTTCACCAATGAACAGACTTCATTCCCGGTTCACCAAGGAACAGATGGCACCTCCGGCTTACCAATAAACAGATGGAACCTCCGGCTTACCAATAAACAGATGGCACCTCCGGCTTACCAATAAACAGATGGCACCTCCGGCTTACCAATAAACAGATGTTTTTCCCGATTCACCAAGGAACAGATGGCACCCCCAGTTCATTGATGAACAGATTGCATTGTTGATTCATTAATGAACAGATGTCATTCCCAGTCAACCAACAGGTTGCGTCCTGTTAACTAATGAAACAGATGGCACCCCAGGTTTACCAATGAAACAGATGGCACCCCAGGTTTACCAATGAAACAGATGGCACCCCAGGTTTACCAATGAAACAGATGGCACCTCAGGTTTACCAATGAAACAGATGGCACCTCAGGTTTACCAATGAAACAGATGGCACCCCAGGTTTACCAATGAAACAGATGGCACCCCAGGTTTACCAATGAAACAGATGGCACCTCAGGTTTACCAATGAAACAGATGGCACCTCAGGTTTACCAATGAAACAGATGGCACCCCAGGTTTACCAATGAAACAGATGGCACCTCAGGTTTACCAATGAAACAGATGGCACCCCAGGTTTACCAATGAAACAGATGGCACCTCAGGTTTACCAATGAAACAGATGGCACCTCAGGTTTACCAATGAAACAGATGGCACCTCAGGTTTACCAATAAAACAGATGGCACCTCAGGTTTACCAATGAAACAGATGGCACCTCAGGTTTACCAATGAAACAGATGGCACCCCAGGTTCACCAATGAAACAATTGGCACCTCCGGCTCACCAATGAAACAATTGGCACGTCAGGTTCAACAATGAAACAATTGGCACCTCAGGTTCACCAATGAAACAATTGGCACCCCAGGTTCACCAATGAAACAATTGGCACCCCAGGTTCACCAGTGAAACAGTTGGCATCTCAGGTTCACCAATGAAACAGATGGCACCCCAGGTTCACCAATGAAACAGATGGCACCCCAGGTTCACAATGAAACAGATGGCACCCCAGGTTCACCAATGAAACAGATGGCACCTCGGGTTCACCAATGAAACAGATGGTACCTCAGGTTCACCAATGAAACAGATGGTACCTCAGGTTCACCAATGAAACAGATGGTACCTCAGGTTCACCAATGAAACAATTGGCACCTCAGGTTCACCAATGAAACAATTGGCACCCAGGTTCACCAATGAAACAATTGGCAACCCAGATTCACCAATGAAACAGTTGGCATCTCAGGTTCACCAATGAAACAGATGGCACCCCAGGTTCACCAATGAAACAGATGGCACCTCAGGTTCATCAATGAAACATATGGCACCCCAGGTTCACCAATGAAACAGATGGCACCTTGGGTTCATCAATGAAACAGATGGCACCTCGAGTTCACCAATGAAACAGATGGTACCTCAGGTTCACCAATGAAACAGATGGCACTTCAGTTTCACCAATGAAACAGATGGCACCTCAGGTTCACCAATGACTAGAAAGAACATTTCATTTTCTGGAAGTTAACAAAAATTGACCATAGCATTTGCTTAAAGAGTTTTTAACATTACCATGTATAACAACCCCTATCTCAAGTTGAAAGAAATGCACACAAAAATGTTTTATTGGACAGTGGGTATGTTATAGAAAACTGTAAGTTTGAGAATGAACCATGTGAAAATACTAGATTAATAATATTCTATTAAAAAATATTCAGGAATGGTGCAAGATTCAGAAAAAAGTGAAGAACAGCCTAGTAACTGTAAGAAACTGATGAATTGATGGTATTTTATAACTCATAATATAATAATGAGAAAAATAGAAAACCCTACGTCAGCCAGGTATTACAGATAATTTTCTCGAGCACATTTGTATTTATATTTCCTAGACAAGCATTACTACCATGCATGTTTACAGTGTAAATCACATTCAATGATAGTGCACACAGGGATGGGTACAGTACGTGGACAAGACACGACTTCTACCTTCACACGCCTTCTATTATATCATCTGAAATGACTTGAAAGGTATGAATACAAGCACAGTTGGTTGGACCAGATTAACATGAAATAGGGATCTAACTTAGTTATTGTGTATCCCAAGGGTAATGGACTGCTTTTTTGTTTTCCATCATATTTCTAAATTAATAACTGACATTGGTAAAGCTGATGATTATTAAAGCTGCACTCTGAGAATGTGGGGTCATGAAAGCATTACGTATATATGAAATATTAGTTCATATAAATTTGTAGAACATGCACAAAACATTAAATTTTTGATTGTATCCAAATGTTTGTTATCATTCGGTTTCCCAATTACAGTGGTTCTCAGAATTATTCAGACCATCAGTTAGCAAGATGGCACGCAACTTTGCAAAACACTTTGGTTTTTGTTCCATATGCATTTAATAGTGCTGTTCCATTCACACATGCATAGCTGAGATCATTATCATACCAGACAACGCTAAAGCGCAGTTTTTCAAAATGAAGTACTGGGTACATTCATCAGATGAACAGGTTATTTTGATTTGTTTTAATATTTCTTTAGTCACATACAGTGTAGAAACTCAGGAAATAAAGGATATTTATTGATCTAGTACAACAGATTAGCAAATCATCGTGTTGATAATCCCTATAAAATAGTGAAACTAAAACAGCTCGCTGAGAAAAAAAGCAAAAGTTAAGTTTTTCGCAAATTTGTAAAGCATCATACTAACACAATCAATTGACACAATCAAAAAATAATATCGATTAAAAGTCCAAAGACCCCCAATAAAGGAACGTTCTCAGAGCACAAGTTTAAAACAACCACGACTCTAACAATACATGTGCAACACTTTTCAATATGGCGTCTTAGAATACATGTGCATTATAGAGATGAATCTGTAAACTGAGACGGATTTGAATCTAGATGGATTGGTGTTATAAATAACATAAAACTAACAAAGGGTAAAAACACTGAAGGGTGCAGAAGAAAGTCCATCGTGCATGTTCGAATTTTGTAAATAAATAAATTCATTTCACTTGCATGCATATATGTACAAGAAAAATATCAAACATGTACGATGGGACGGTAGGCACCCATTACAAGAATCAATTGGAACAACTACTAACATTAAACAAGACATAGCAGTCAAGTACCCTTGAATACAAACATGCAAAAAACACTTCAACCAAACTAAACTATAACTTAATCACAATCGATTATGACTCGAGAAAATCAGAAGTAACATCTGGCTGACTGGGGGCAACTGATGTCAATTGAAATTGGACATCTCACCATGGGTTGCATTGCAGGGCTTGGCTGGGTTGTAAAATGTCCCGAGTATGCATTGCCCCTCCAGTCTGCTGCTTGACCTCCCTTTAAAATGAAATGGAATAACCGGACATTACAGCAGTGTATCATGGGTAAAAAAAATAATAGATGCGAGATAGATACAATGAATGTAGTATGATGATGAGAAATGAAAGCAGCAACCAAAATGAGTTTGTCAGTCAATGAAACTAATATAAACTAGTCATACATGTACCTTGGTTCTATATAACTATAAAAAGTTATAGTTATAGTGATACAGTATTTGGAAAATAAACTCCCATGATAGTACATGTAGACCGATTGCCCAGAGCACAGAGTAACTTAACAACTACAACATGTGGTAATTCATATAACAAATTGAAAATATGCAATGCTTGTCATGACGACTTGAAATGTTTCTATTAAAATGATAAGTTAGATGCAAGACATGATTTCTTGTGTTTTTTTATATCATGAAACAGCTCTCTGAAAAAAAAAGCTATATCACAGGTCAAAGGGCAGATGAAAAGGTTAAAGTTTGCATATTAAAAAAAGCTTGCACCAATATGAGTGCGAGAGTGACAATGCATTGGTGCACATGTGTGTGAAAAGTCAGGTGAGAGAGCATGTGATTGGTTGTGGCTGACAGGGTATTTCAGTTATCCAGATCAATACTGGCTGAGCTGCATAAACACCACCTCCCCTAGGTACCAATGAATGTGCAAAAAGCATGTCAGTCACCCAGCCGAGGCAAGTGAGTATTTCACAAGCAAATACATTGACTAAATACCACCATAGACACAATAGACAAGCATACACCGTGTAAATCACCATTATACGTACACATATACATCAAGTTGTTAGTGCAAAGATATAGTGAAACTAGAGATTATAGGTAAAGTGAGACATAGCTGTTGGGGTGGCATGCAGTTTATTTGCTTCATTCACCGGAAAGAGAACATTATGACGGAGAACAATTGAGACAAGAAACAACAATATTCATGAACTTCTCGTCCAAGGGCTTTTTTTTGGGACACAGAATGGAAGAATGTACGCCAAAATACAAAATAAATAATATTTTGGTCTAAAATATATAATTTGTATTTGTTTTCACTGATGTGGTTTGAACAAATAAGGAGCATCTGATTATTTTCAATTACTCAGGGGGGCTTAGTCATGTATATGTAATTATCCATACAAACAAGCGCCTCTAAGTAGATGAAAATTATCAACATTGATTTTGACTCCACTGATACAGACACACAGTGGCATGGATTTAGTTAGACGTACAACAGCGGTATATTATTCAGGCAGTATTACACAATTTGGGATGCTTGATTAAGGTTCATTTCAGCTATCTAGAATGCATTTTTAGACGGGAAAGCACTCACCGGCTTGGGATTCTGCTGGTTACTGGACTCCTTAAAAAACAAAGCATATGAGGGACAAATAAACTAAGTGAGCACACACAATTGACAGCCTTTAGGAATTACCTGTAGTTGCAACGGATATGAACATTGGTCCAAGCCGTATCAGAAGGGAAAGGTTTTGGGGGATGGCTTAAGGAGGCATAATGGTGCTCTTATCAAATGTCAGTTAGCATCACATACATATTCAGCACAGCCAAGCCCCTTAACTTGGGACAGAATACCAAAATTCTGAATCGTATGATGAAATCAAAATTCTATCAAAATTCAAAACATGTGTACATTACATGTGATTTATATTTCCTCCACCAAATAGTATATACCTACATGTATCTTCACAACACTGATTACTTGTGCACTTAAAAGGGTATGTTAAAATACAGAACCATCTGCAATATTTCACTGGTTTCTCTGAAAAAAGCTTGTTTTGGCAAAAACTTAGCTTTAAACTTTTGAAGAAAAAAACTTTAGTTATAGTTTTCTGCAACATTTGCCAGCTAGTTTATTTGGTGACAGTTTTGATGTGAGAATACAGACACTGTTATCCGATCTATCCTTGTAGGATCTGGTGAAAATCGAAAGAAGACATCCAATTGGAGGAACACACAGGTGAACAATTGTGAAAAATTACATCGATCCCGCTTTACAATTTATTCCACGTCAGTTAAGTATATTTCAATGCTAGAAAATTTTGTGATATTTCTTGATTCACAAGAACCTCTCTATCATAAAATTAATTTAAAAGTAATGTTTAGTATTTCTCAAGATATCACAGACTAGGTACCATACATTCAAATTGGTCATCATATAAAATGATTTAACAGATGCTACCTCAAATTTGATAAGAAACACCAAATGTGACCAGGGAGAGAACAAATGTATACAGGAAGTTATGGTAGGAAATTTTGCTTGTACACCAGGTCCAGAATGACGCTGGAGTGTATTGGATTGTGCAACTAATGTACTGCATACCACGGCCCAAAACTGGAGAGACAATCAGAATACAGGAAACACGAGTGGTTTACACATACATACACACTAACACACAGAAAAACATGAATTGATACAAGTGGTGTAGTGAATTGCTGCGTGTGGACATGATGTTGGAGAAGAAAAATTCACATGGTACACTCAGAGATAAGTAGTATGTTCATTCACAATTCCATTCTGTTTTTTATTATCACAGACATATTTTTATCTTAGAAAAATGATCAACTGGCATATAATTATTAGAAAAGAGGATTCAATCAAATATTGTTTCCACTGATTACCGCCATCAGTTACACCTAAACCATTTTAGCAAATACTTCTATACATTCATTCAAACTATCTTAATCTAACTTCAATAGACACGCCTCCATATCTAGCAAATCTAAGCCAATCAATTCATCTTGTACAGACACATCTCCATATCTAGCAAATCTAAGTCAATCAATCCATCTTGTACTGACACATCTCCATATCTAGCCAAGCTAAGCCAATCAATTCATCTTGTACAGACACATCTCCATATCTA